AGAACTAATATAAAATATAGAACTTTCACTAAATATGAGCAGATCTACTATCATAATTTTGATTAATCAAAGCTAGAAGTACATATATGGTTGTGACATAGTGGATTATTAGTTGTTGAAACAAATTTCAAAACATTTAGTATTGCTTAAGAAGATATTCAAGCACGGTTTAAACCAATCTTAAATTTGACAAAGAATCATGGTAAGGCAATAGAGAAAATTAAAGCTACCTGAGCTGTGCAAATGTTGCTTGTAGCTTTGTCCCTACGAATATGTTGCTCCCGTGTCTGCATTGCCATACGAAGAGCAGTCTTTCCTGTAGCATCAATGCTGACACCAATAATTCTTCCTGGCATCATCCTCTTATACTCTTGGGATGTAGCCAAGAAAGCAGCATGAGGACCTCCATAACCCATCGGGACACCAAACCTCTGAGCTGAACCAACCACGATATCTGCTTTTAACTCACCCGGGGTTTTTAACATAATCAAAGCCAACAAATCAGATGCCATGACAACCTTAACTCCATTGGCATGTGCATTCTTAATAAACTCCCCATAATCCAAAATCTCACCCTCAGTTCCGGGATATTGCACTAGAACGCCACAAACATCCCCTGATTTATAATCAATCTCATTTACATCAGAAACGACAACCTTAAGCCCAAACCCATCAGCTCTAGTCTTACAAATATCAATAGTTTGGGGGTGGCAGTTACTAGCAATAACAAAAGTTTTCTTTTTGCCCTTCTGAATATTGTTACACATGGCCATTGCCTCTGCTGCAGCAGTCCCTTCGTCGAGCAAAGAAGCATTTGACATGGGCAGTCCAGTAAGATCTGTAACCATTGTCTGAAAATTCAGCAGAGATTCAAGACGTCCTTGTGAAATTTCAGCCTGGTACGGAGTATACTGCGTGTACCACCCCGGATTCTCCATAATATTCCTCAATATAACGGGAGGCACCAGAGTATTATAATAACCCATCCCAATATATGACTTTGCTACCTTATTCTTAGACGCCAAATTCTTCATGTGCTCAATCATTTGTGCCTCAGTCAATCCCTCATCGAATATAGGCATTTTCATTTTATCAATACGAATAGATTTGGGCACTGTGGCATCAATGAGCGCATCAAGGCTATTGTACCCGACAAACTCGGCCATTCTGGTTTGCTCCTCTGGAGTGGCCGAGTTATGCCGGCGAGGAAATGTGTCATTGGGTTTCAGGGCCTCGACAGAAATGGATCGAGTCCCAACATACCGTGCCATACTTCTCGAAGAAACATTATGGGTCCTAAAATTATTGTTACCTTGTACTGCACTCGGGGATAACGAGGAAACGTACCTGGTGGACCTGTACAATGCAGGGGATTCCGATAATTCTGGAGTGGCCGAGTTATGCCGGCGAGGAAATGTGTCATTGGGTTTCAGGGCCTCGACAGAAATGGATCGAGTCCCAACATACCGTGCCATACTTCTCGAAGAAACATTATGGGTCCTAAAATTATTGTTACCTTGTACTGCACTCGGGGATAACGAGGAAACGTACCTGGTGGACCTGTACAATGCAGGGGATTCCGATAATTCTGAAACCAATCGTTTCAGAATTGCCCGGTTGGCCAATTTTCGTGCACGCTCCATTTCTTGAATTTATGAGCAAATGCGAGATGGGGTGGATTTGTAATTAAATGCCACCCCAAAAGGGATGAACAAACAGAGAGAAAAGTATAGAGCTTTTGTCCAGTGCTCCTTTGCACTAAGGTAGGCTATCTTTTGTATATATTTTGGTTTTTATCTTTCCGTTATCTCAAAAGTGAGTGGTGGTAACTGGTTTGTTGAAGATGCGCTCTTTATTAATATATATATACATGTAAGTATATATGAATATAGAACTTAGTTTTCCACTAGTAAGTTTGTTTTACAATTTTTATTATAGTTGTACATGCAATTATTAACGATGAAGATTCTTGTGTGGTTTGTACATATCTAACTTATAAATTAATTTATTATGGTCACACGAACAAACTTCAACAATGAAAATATCGAGTCTCACATACTTCAACTATAACTTAGGTTGGTGTTCAAAATATTAAAGATTTAAGTTGATTGTGTTTTTACGAGGGGTCACTTGTCAATTTGACATCAACTTAAACACTTCCTTCTCAATGTGATCGCTAGTGTAACTAGAATAAAATGTTGAAAACTATTTTGTATCTTTTTAACGTTCGAAGACCAACTTACATCTCAAACAATAAGTTAAGAAACAATATGCAATTTTTCCACAATTCAATTATGGGAATAATATATTTGAGAAATTTGATATTTTTTGGAAATGTAAATAATCGATTCCAAGATTGGTGGTGGTGGGTGCATACTAAATTTTAAGGCTCTGAAGGCAGATTGTAGACAAAATTGAGGAAAAGGACAGCAAATTTTGGTCTTATTCAAGGAGGCTCTGCAAGCCAGTGATTTTTGGTAAATCTATCTTTATGTGCAAAAGTTCTTGTAGATGAGCAAAATATTTGTGGGTTTTTGTAGCAATTTAAAAATGAATGGAAGGGAATAATTATAAAGGATTGAGATTCAATGGATCAAATTGAATGGATTTGGAAAATTTTGTTGGGCATGAAAATTCAGCCTAAAAAATGTTTGTTGGCAGCTTGTCTTTCACATCTGGCTTATCTTATTTTCTCACCTCACACACAGAGATAAGAAATGGAATTAAGCTTCAGACAGTAGAAGATATGAATCATATCTTTAGATTTTATTCATTATCAATTAGGATTAGTGTTTGAACAAATGGTAACCACGTCGAAATTTTTGCTTCACTCATACTAGAAAAATATCGTAATGTTACTGTAAGAATGAAACATCTAATTTTGTACGTATATAGTTATGTAAAAAAATGAAAATCGAAATTAAAAATACGCGTTCTCAATTGATACTCTATAACAAAGCATAAGATCGCAACAAGTGAAGAACTCACATCTCTCATTTATTTTAATGTTTATGTTGAAAAAGAAACTCGTCTTCACATCTCTCATTTATTTTAATTTTTATGTTGAAAAAGAAACCGTCTTAGTACTCTTATAAAATATATGGTATTAGAATTGAAAAGAGGTAGATTCATGTACAACTGCAAAGAAAAATCTTATAGCAAGTGGTTGGCATGTTTGAGTTTATTTAAATGAATTTCAGGATTCATATCGATGGTACAATTTTGATTAATTGATTATAGGGGTGTTCTTGATGGAATATTCAACTGAGGAGTTGGCGATCCTTGCATTGAGTATATGTTGGGTTTTCTTCTCATAGAAGTTATTTCTCAAAGACTCGCAAGATAAGGAAGAAAGGAAAACAAGCACATTTTGAGAGCGTAGTACAATGAAGACTTGTATGGTCTTTGGTTTGAGTTATATAATTAATGCAATAATTCTTTGAAGTTTCTTTTTCTTCTAGAATTCTGGTTTAGGGATAGCAACGGTACAAATAGTGAAATAAGTGGGAGTGAAGAGCCATATAATGTGGTTATTTGAGAATTTGGGGCAGAGGTTCCTCAACTTCTAAAGCCAAATAGTGAAATAAGTGGGAGTGAAGAGCCATATAATGTGGTTATTTGAGAATTTAGGATAGAGGTTCCTCAACTTCTAAAGTCATTGTTTCGAAGACGGGTTATACACAAGGGTAATGAAAACATTCCCAGTGAACATTCCTAGTGAACCTACAATAACATACGTGGTCCGATTATGACTTATAAGTTATGTGAATGTGACTATCAGTAACAAAATTGCAATAATCTATAGTTTCAAGTATGCATCTACAATTTTAAAATGTGACCTAAGACACAGGTCTTCGAAAAACAATCATGCTACAAAGGGATGTCAAATGGGCCGAGCGGCTCATCGGCTCGACCACTCGGTTCGTCAAAACTCGACTCGTGGGCGGCTCGAGCTCATCGAGCAAGGGTGGGAACCAACGAACCGAGTAAGGCTTGGCTCATCGAGCTCGCGAACGGGCCCACGAGCCAAAAGTTCACGAACTGACTCGTAAAAAATGTGAAGAAATGTTTGAAAATTTATCGAGCTCGTGGGTCGAGCTGAGTTCGGCTCGTGCGCTCGTGTGTTTAAGGGTCGAGCCGACTCAACTCGATACATTGCCATCTCTAATGCTACATATACAAATATTTGTCAGCTAACACAATTTTCATTGGATGTTATAGGGATGTTAATGAGTCAAGCCGAGTCGGCTCGAGTAAAATTAAGTCGGCTTTTTTTTTTTTTTTTTTTACTTAAGCCGAGCCAAGCAAAAACTCGATTACAATAGGCAGCTACACACTGCTCTTCTTAAAAGTAGCATAGAGCTGCTTTTTTTTAACGAGTCAACTCGACGAGCCACACTAGTTGGCCCGAGCTCGGCTTGAGCCTTGACTCGAGCTATTTTTGGGCCGAGTCACGGGTGATCTGAGCGAACAAATCAAATTGTCATTCCTAAGATGTTGGACAACAAAAAAATAACCAATCAATTCAACGATGCCACTTCATCATTAGTAAAGATCAATATATAGTTCATTTGCACAAGGAGCTTAATTCCTTTGAAAAAATTGTCATTTCAAGTTAAAATTATCATTATGTTGTGTGACTCTGTTTACGAGGTTGTGAGATTGTGACCCAAACTATACGTTATGTGACTATAAACGTATTACGTTATGTGATTGTGACTTATAAGATTGATGTAACAGTCATTCATAAATATGTGACGGTATTTTATTGCTTCATATGCTTTTGAATATGATCTAAAACTTGTCCATTTGAAATTTTGGCTTCGTGGAAATTTTTGACCCAATTTGAAGGTTGAAGGCTTTATTTATAACATTAAGAATGCGTTTGAGTACCAATATTTTCTATGGAAAATGTTTTTTTCCACCAAAATTTTTAATTTTGTGATGTTTATTTGAAATTTTTTTCCATGGAAATCATTTTCCTACTTTTGATCACGTGACTATATTTTTCTCAAAATCAAGAAAAATATTTTTTGGGGGGAGTAGGCAGAGGCGGATTTAGGCCTAGCTGGATTCACTGGGGAGAATTTTTTTTATTGATAATAGATAGAATTTTTAAATTATATAGTTGATAATTCATATTAATAATAAACATCTGTGGTAGCTTAGTTGGTTAGCCTTTCTACTATTGAATTGAACGTCTTGTGTTCGAAACTCTTCAAAAGCAATTTTTTTATAATTTTTGTATTTCAACAATTTTCACCAAAATGAATGCATGGAAGGTGATTTGAACCTGCTACATTCTTTAAATATATTGATCACTTTACCATCAGGACACTTATTGATTTTTAGCACATAATGTAACAAAATAATATATATATTCAATTTTACTGGTTTAATGCAAGTAGAAACATTCAAACCTGTGCTTTGTCCCTCTTCTTGATTTTCTTTTTTCCTTCCAATAAATTGATTTGAGAGTTTGGTCAATTAATGGTGGATGAATTTGTAGGAAAATTGACCTTAGTCTCATAATGAATCTTTCAACAAAACTTATTTAATTAATAAAATGCTCCATTTTTCGTTCACAAAAAATCGATTGTGAAAAAGTGAAATCATACAAACACATAAAATAGATATAAGTACATAAATAATTTCAGTTTTATTAATATAATAATGCATGTTTAATTAACTTTAATTATAAACTGAATATTGATATTTTGTTAATATATATTACTTATTTAATTGAAAAATAAATTAAGGCATTTTACAGATTATGGAACGATTTTTTCATCCAAAATAATAGTTCGCATCTAATTTTAGTTCTAGTGGTGTATCTAGTTCTTTTAACTCTAATCCGTACAATTTTTGAATATTATTTAATTAAATATTAATAAACAATCTCGCTATCATAGAAGTTGACCGTCGATGATAAGCTTTCAACGCTCGAGGTCCAAGCTAACTGAACTCGACCCTTGTATTCACCCCTGGGAGTAGGATTCTATTTTTCAAGGAATCCACTCTCTCTTATCTATCCCTTCGCTCTTGTCTACCCACCAATAAAAAGTGAACAAGTATAATATTTTCTAAATTAAAAACTAAATCAATCAAACACATTTAATTAATAATTAGTATACATATAAGTTCTAGACAATTGAATTGTCTAGAATTTATTTTTTTATGCACATTTCATGCTCACGGTCAAACACACTCTAAGTCTAAGAGCTTGTTTGGAACAACTTAAAAGTCAATTAAAATCAATTTTTTGACCGTTATTTCACTGTTTCAGCCGTCATTTTTGAATTATTCTCTCACAGGTAGGATCCATTTTATCCCTAACAATCAAAAAGTCAATTATCAAAATTCGTACCAAACAAGCACTAATTGTGCTCTCTTCACATTGTGTCATCTTGAAATCCATTAAAGACAATAATCAACTTTCAAATTCAAAATTACTTACTAAACATCTATTATTTGACAATATAGTTTTAAAATTTAAAAAAAAAAATTTATATAGTAAAAATCCAAATTTTGGGGAAAATAACTGATTAATTATGATTGTATCTTAAAATCATGGTTCTGCTTAGTTTCTCTTTCAAACACAAGAAAGGATATACAAAGTACGTTTTTATTTCTTTTCTTCGGAGTGTTTTCTTTGATGAAGTTACATTAACACAGCAGAAGCTGAAACACAACATTGTTTTTCAGAAACTACAGGAAACAAAACAACAAGGGGAAGGCAGAGGGGAAAAGCGAAATAGACATAGATTATCTCTAGAATCTATTCGCCAAAGGGCGATGAAAAGCAGAGCAAAAGAAAGGAAATATTTATGCATCAAAGAGTCGAAT